CTTTTAAAAAGTTAGCGACTTGATGTTGTTTTTGAAGTCGATAAGACAAATATTTGTAAAAAAATATAAAAACATACATTTAAGCTCAGCTAAGGTTGGTGATGTATATTTTAACAGTTTTGTTAATCATTTGGTCAATAAATTATGTACTTTACCAAAATAACATTTTTATTTTTTTTTGTTTTCATTTTCCCTCTCAATTTGATATTCACCTATAAAATCAACAAACCCAGTTGAAATATTTCACAGTATTTTTTATGATGTTCTGTTGAAGAAAATGGTAAAATGGACTGATAAACAAGCAACAGGTGTTTTTTGTATTCCACAACCAAAGCGTAGCCACTCTAAGTTGCGGACGCCAGTTACTGAAAACAAAATGAAACAATTTTTAGGCATATGCCTATTGATGGGGAATTTGAATATAAACAAGTCATGACAAATAGCCCAGTCAATAAAGGGATTGTGTCGGAAGTAATTAGTGAAAGGCTGATTTTTGGCCCATCGACTATTACCATTTAGACAAGTGTTCAGCCAAAAGTCCCCGCCCCTACCCCTCTTGCTTCCCCCCCCTGTGCCCCCCTAAACATATTAAGTGTAAGGGTTTCATAAATCACGTTTTTCTCGATTGTTAAACGACATATTGAATTGCAATTAGTTTTATTGTCTTTCTTATAAAATTTCCTACAATAATGTTCAGTTAACTTTCGTCGTAGCTGTTACCTTTTGTTCATTATTTGTATACAAAAGTAAAAATTTATATATTTTTGAACATATAATTTTATTTCTGTTGCCTTAACTTTTTCCGCTGACGTTTTATGGAAATATGCTTAAGACAAAAGTTGTAGCTGCTTTCATTAGCTTTAAAATGATGTATAATAGTACTTACTTTAATAAAAATCCTGCAAGGTTCAGCCGGTGTAATGGAGTATGCGTACTCAATCAGTGAGCTAAGTTGGGCTGGCGCGGCGCGGCGTTGCAATACTATCATTGTTGTAATATGGAGAGTGTTTTTTTTTTTTTTTTTTTTTTTTTTTACTTAAGGTATACTAATGCATTATCTCCATTCCCTACCGCAGCAAACCTGCGACTAAGCAAATTTTCATTTACCTGGCTGGATATTTACTCAAACATTCCCTTAAAATCGTCAGAATTATTTCCTGATCAGATTATTTTCATGAATACTGTACTTAGGTTTGCTGCTACAGCCAAGGTATTGAAGAGTGTTCTTTTATCGATATGTTTATAGCTTTTTATGAAATAAATAAATCTAATTAAATATATCTATAAACAAGCAGACTACAACAGTTTTTTTATCGTCCAAAAGAATAAAATGGGAATTTTAAAACTTAATTTTTATGAATTATCTCCGTAATCGTTAGGCGTTTAACGTTGCTCCAATATACAAAATTATTTATTTTTTTAAGCTCTACAAAATGGTTTGGAAAGAAATTGTAATATTTTGTGGTTTTAGGGGGGAAATGGGAATAACCAACGTTTAACACATAAAAACCCTAATTAACCCCTATTCCCATAGTCTGATCATGCTGGTTCACAAACTCGTTCGAATGAACGTAAATTGATATATTTGTACCAAATTTCATCAAATCAGATCATTTTTGTTTGAGTTATCACGCTAACTGACTCGTGTATATATATATAAAGTGATTTATATATATATATATGGATATATGATTTTAAGTTTTAAATTTTAATTATGAATTTTAACGGCGGAGGGTGTTTTCGGCCTCTGAGGACTTCAAAATGGAAAACTAAATCGGGCCCGGGTCTTGGTCTTACCATGAGACCTACGGTAATAGTTTATTCCCTATGATGAATTTGCCAAAAGAACAACCGAAACAAAACCCATGTACAGTTAATAGAATTTATTTCTATCCTTTGTAATTTAAAAGCATAAAATCATTTTATATGTACGTAATAATTTTATAGGATGTTATTTTTGAACAAAATATTTGCATTATCATGATTTGAAGTTAAGAATTACTCATACATCGAATTCAAAATTTCCCCTTAAAACTTCTTTCCCCCCATATCTTATATTTTCAACACTAGGGTAAGACGACTCCTCATACGCTCAGTTTTTAATTTCTTGTCTTATCAAAGCCGCAGCTATAGAAACAATTATCTTATAATCTTATCACCGTTATGCCTTTTTTTAAGGAGTACCAAGTTTCAGAGAAAATATTGTCCACCCTATCTCTTAAACAAACTATGGAGGATTTATTTTTATGTTTGTAGTCTAAAAGAAGTCTTTCACCAAGTGATTAAGTAATAATTTTTTGAAGTACTTCGTTTCATAAACCTGGTCTCTGCCTGATATATTTTTCATCAATTGCAAAAGGTTAGGAATACTATGCTGGCAATCATAATTTTCCTCAATGAAATCGCAAACTTTCACCTACACACGTATCGGTGTGAATGTGTTGTTTCAAAAACCTAGCATAACAAGGTAAACAAATCCTTCAAGCCTAGACCTAACCTAATCAGCCCAATCATTTTTCTTATTTTCAATGCATTTACTTATAGTTTGTTTAGTAGTTAAATTACAGTATGAACTCAACCGACTGCTTTCCTATTGTTTTTTTGTGTCTTAAAATTTAAAAAAATCGAGAGAATACAATAATGGGTAGAAACGTCTTGCACGAGTGCGGTAACGGATCAGCTATGGAGCGCCACATAAAAATAGTACACACGGTCTCTTCACGGTTAATATCTGGTATTACATAACCATAAAGTACACGTTTCAATATATCATTTTAAAGCTGATAGCAGCTACAATTTTGTTTGAAAAATACTTTCATAAAATGACGGTGTTAAACGTTTTGCAAAACAATAAAATTACGAGTAAATAACTATTTATCTTTACATTATTCTACGGATAACAAACAAACGGTAACAAGTACGACAAGATTTAACTGGACATGATTGTAGGAAATGTTATTACAAAGGGAATAAAACAATTGCAATTCGATGTATGTTACATTTTTAACTTGCAGATCTTTTTTTAAAGATAACATCCTTTAAAAATAATATATACCTAAAAAAATAGTTACATGTTTTTTAAATGATAAACTAAATAAAATTTTTAAATGAATAAAAAAATAACTTTAAATGTTATTAACTTTACATGGGGGTTTCGATTGTTTTTTTCTAGGATAATACAATAGTGTATCTTAATTTAAAAACAAATTCTCCACATTACAACAATGATAGTATTTCGCGCCAGCCCCACCTAGACCAAACCCACTGATTGAGTACACATACTGCATTACACTGGCAGAATCTTGCAAAATTTTCATTAAAGTAAGTAGTGTTATACTTATACATAATATTGATGCTAATGAAAGCAGCTACAACTTTGTCTACAACATATTTTCATGAAACGTCAGCGAAAAAAGTTGAGGTGACAAAAGTTAAATTATATGTTCAAAATATATAAATCTTTACATTTTTATACAAATAACGAACAAAAGGTAACAGCTACAACGACAGTTAACTGAACAGGATTGTAGAAAATTTTATAACAAAGACAATAAAACTAATTGCAATTCAATATGTCGTTTAACAATCGAAAAAACGTGATTTACGTAACCGTTACACTTTATATGTTTAGGAGGGCACAGGGGGGGAAGCAAGGGGGTAGGGGCGGGGACTTTTGTCTAAACTCTTGTCTAAATGGTAGTAGTCGATGGGCAAAAAATCAGCTTTTTACTAATTTCCCCTCCCTAAAAACACAGGTTGACTTGACTAACTATACTCGCGGATCCGCGCCGCGAGCGCTCTTGCGCCCGACGCCGCCTCCCGTTTTCGGACTGATTCTGTCAACTGGCTGCAATTTAAATACGTAAAACCTATATCATTTTAAAGATTGAGAAAAACGCTAACTTTTTATATAAAACACTTTTCTCTATCTCGTCTCATTCCAATACAAATCAACTTAACACACGAAGGTTGAAATTTAAAATTGAAAAAATTTACATTCAAACTTAAATTACAAGAAAACTACTGAATATATCGATTACACTCTTATAACGTTTTTTGTAGAGAATATTTCAAGGATTAAAATGGCGAAACAAAATTTATTCTATTGCTGTTTGTTTTTGAGATATTGGTAAATTGATCAAAGATTACACAAATAGACTTAAAAGGGTGTAGGGGGGAAAGCAAGAGGGGGACTTTTTAGAAAATGTTCCTTATATGATCTACTAACATCCATGAAAAAATCAGCCTTTCACTAATTACTTCCGACAAAGCACTATTTTGACCCTTTATTGACTGGGCTAAAAGGTAACTTTTACTGTTGCATGGTAGTATGACAACAGTTAGACCGGAGTCTGCCACCTTAGCTGTTTAAATTCAAGTATCCGTTGCTGATAATAGTAGTTGCCCAAGTGAGCTACAACCAATCTTGGGCATTGATTAACGTTTAGGTTTCTGATCAACTTGATAATATAGTTGGGTAGTAATATGTTACTTTGTTTTCATCATTATTGGCTGGTCTAGCTGCGCTATTTATTTTTATTTTTTCCTTTGAAGGATCTTGTATATATATCTCGCTTTTATATACATTCACCACGGCAATCTGCGTGTTTTATTGAATTTTTATGGTAGTTTTCTGGACTTAGTGGAACAGTTGAAGACCACTACTAATTTAACTTGATTTTGAGTTTACATCCATAAATTAAACATTTCTATATCTCCAAAACCGTCAATTGAACCCCCCAGATTGCCTTAAGTCTAAGATAGCCAAGTGGATGACTGGGAAATGGATAATTAGCCCATACCAGCAGAACAAAAACCGATGAAAACTTGGAAAAGACAGCAAAATAATGTTATATAATCTTAATATTTATATATTAATTGGCTCCTGCAATGTCACTTTTATAATCAAGATGAGCGTTTAGAACTTTGGATGATTTTTCCAAAGATCCTCTACATATTCAAACTTGACTCTGCCTGCTGACTATTCAGTGTTTTTACAGGTCCTTTAACAGTTTGGGTCTGAAAGGCAACTTCAGTTTAGCTGAGATGCACAGTTGGGTGAGTCATTGTCTGCCAGAAGTGCCAGAGAAACCCCCCTTGGAGGATAAAGTCTCTTACATCTTTACTTCTACTCTGATGCATTCCATGCTACATTGCACATACAGGTCTGCAAGTGTAATTTGCTACATGATATATCAAATTTCAGTCACATGCCCTTAGTTCAAAGTATCACAGTATTAATTAAATAAATTTTTATGTAGTTCACGATAAAACTAAGACACATATAATGCCCAATTTTAACATAGCCGGATCACTAGTGGTTTTTAAAAATAAAGCCTAATAATTAAAACAATGATTAGAATGTAAGGCTACATGCAAATTTCAGTTGTTCACTGGTGATTTTGAACTACTTTGACTTCGGAAGACATATTTAAAGGGGGTTATTGGGAAATGGAACAATCTCCTTCTCTAAATAACTTTTCCCTTGCGATTTTAGTTAATATTAAAGTTTGTTCACATTTGAATGATTTGGACCATTCTGTATTTTACTATGCATTAGGCCTATCTTTATCTACAGCCTGTAGACAGAAGTTGATCATGAACTTGTGTTTAATTACCAGAGTTAACAATGTCTAATAAATTCCATGTTGATGGCCCCTGGATTACTATGAATGACTATTGTGGTATAATTACCTCGTCAAGTAATCCAAATGTTTATGATGTGAGATTAAAAATCTACATGTTTCACTGTTAATACGGCATCGTCAGGGTACAAACACATAAAAGACATTACTGTCACACGCACACAATAAATAAATAACACGATGCCTTATTAACAGTGAAACATGTAGGTTTTTAACCTCACATCATCAACATTTGGATTACTTGACGAGGTAATTATACCACAATATTATAAGTTAACAATGTCTGCTATAGATCAACCCAGTGTGTTTTCACTTTACAAAACGAGATAATACATACATGTTTTCTATAACTTAACGTAAATATTTATATTTAGCAAAAGGCACAATTTTTAAACACTAACTGAATATTTTTATACAGCAAAGGAGAGGCAGAATTTCGCTCTGACAATGTCTCGACAATCTGCATTCTGAAAGATTTTATCACCAAAGAAGCGACCAAGAAAAAAATCAAGCTTGAGATATCTATTGGTAAGAAAAGTCCCTAATTAAAACTTTCTAAAAACAACCTTTTTATAAAGTCGTGATGATCTTTAATAACTTTGGTGGTTATAATGTATGGTTTATAGTTTATTTAGCCACAATAAGTACATTAAATTTGGCTAAGGTCTTACTGGGAGTGGGAAGCAATTTACTCATTTAACTATCAATAAATTATATTAATCTAAAGTTTATACTCGAGAACTCTAAAAATTAAAACAAAAAAGGCATTGAGTCTCTAAAGTTCATTTTATTAATGTTCTATCTGATTACACTTGTTGTCTGCTACCATGGCCTCCTCTAATCAATGCCACAGAACCTCCCTATTGAAACAGCTGTTGCACTATTTCATAATGGAGGGTGTGTGCAATGTTTATATTTTTACACTTTCTCTTTTGATGTAATCAAGGAAATCTTTGCTAAAGATATTTAGTTGCCTAGATGTGTAAACTTCTCTTCACAGAAATACAGCAGCGTTGTCAAATCAGGAATCAAAAATTTTAAGAGAACTAACTCCTTATAAAAAAGAAATATTATACAATAGAAGAGTATTTAAATGACTGTTTTTTTAAAAAGTGACTAGTTTAATTTTAATCCTTAGTTTTAATTTTTATTTTTGTTAGCTAAGAAATGTCAATGTTTCACCAGCTTTGCTGGAAATGTGAAATGTTTTATGACAGTAAAGTGATATTATTATTATTATTAACTACATTGCTGTTATCAGTGCCTAGTTAAAAGAAGTTTTGTAATTTACATGTTCAGGGAGTTACATGAGAAAAATTCAATTTTCAAATTCATTCTGTGAATTAATATCCAAGACCAACAAGTATGCAAAAAAAAGTACCCTAGTCTAAAAAAAATTTTAAGAGTGAAAGAGCGAACACAAAAAAGTATAATACCGTTAGTGTTCATGGGATATTATAAACAGGATAGGCCTAGTTAATTATAAAAATGAAAGTCTGAAAATAAGTTCTTCTATAGAGCTTATACATATATATATCTATTTAGGTGTTTATATTGTGATTCATTAACTAATTTAACTTTTGTACAGTAAAACCCCTCTCGTCCGCCGCTCCGGTTAATACGACCGGGCTCAAGCTTGCATACTTGTCCAGACGCGTCAGTGACTCATTTCCTGTCGCGCGCCACTTGCTGTTTTGCATCTGATTCCATGCTTCGTCATCTCTCTTATAGTTTCTGCCGATCACTGTACTGTAGTGTATTTTGTGGTGTACTGTGCAGTTTTTTGTTTACCGTGTACTGTACTGTGTGTTATTTTTCCGACAGTATTCTTCTGTAAGCCTACATATTTTTATTTTACTTTGTATGTGTTTTCAACATGACAGGAGGTAAAAGACTAGATAAAGGTGAATCGTTCCAAAAAATTGCCAAGGAACTCAATATAGGCGTTACGACAATAAAAGACTGGCGTAAAAATCAGAAACATAATGAATTACCATTCATTATGTTTCCAATTTTTACGCCAGTATTTTATTGTCGTAACGCCTATAAACACGTCGTAACGCCTGGTTTATTGTCGTAAACCGGGGCTACTTGGGTCAAGGGGGCTACTTGGGCCAATAATGTAGGGAATTTAAAAATTGAGTGTGTGGTACCCCTGCTTAGAGTTTTCACAGTTCTTACAGATGTTACAAGATGCATGCTGAGATGTACTGCAGTTTTTTTTACGAGCCTTGCTGGAGTGAAGACAATGGTTTATGGTTTGTTTACATCCTACTATCCTCCTTTATTTACTTCGATGACTTAAACGCACTGCCAGTCTATATTCTTTGTTCGCTGGTATTACCACACGTACCCGAGATTTCGTAGTAGCTAGGTTCATCTTAAGATTACGTGAATCTTAGTATGTCAAGCAAATCATGGATTATTCTATTTTTTTATACATATTCATAGAACATTTTACAATTTAATTTTTTCCACGATTTAATTTAATTTTTCATAGAATTTATTGAGGTAGTATTTTTCAGGTTTTTAAAACAAAGGTGAAAAAAGTTTCATACCAGGCATTATGGGAAAATGATTTTTCATGGGTGAAAGAAAGTCGTATAAAGGGTTATACAACATGCTTGATCTGCAAGAAGGACAACATTTTCTTTGGGTCCATGGGCATGCCATGCGTTAAAAAGCCACGAACAAGGAAAAAAGCACAAGGAACTAGAAAAAACTATTAATTAACTATGCCTATCATAACTTGGCTTTCTTCAAGTTAGTCCACTACTGGATTAAATTTAGCAACTACTACAAACCAGCAACAAACTCCCTCTCAACCTTCTACTTTGGGTTCCTCATCCATGACAGTCTCCGCATGGACTTCAACAACTACACCTCAACAACAAACATTCTCTCAACCTAATACTTCGTCAATTGTATCACCTACAACTTACAGCTTGTCGGCAACACCCCTACCTTCATCACATTCTAAAGCATCTGAATTTTAAAAAAATTGTGGCTAGCTAAAGACATTGTAACAAAGGTAGAGATCTTGTAGTGTGCTCACACTTGCCTTAGTCGCCAATCTCTAAGAAATGCAGAGGCTGGGGTTAACTTATTCAAAGTTATGTTTCCTAACAGCAACACTGCTTTGGATATGAAACTTGGTGAAGACAAAATATCATACTCTATTGTCTACGGTCTTGTCCCCTTTTTTAGAAATCATCTTTTGAAAAACATCAACAATTCTGACTATTACGTAATTGATTTTGATGAATCGCTGAACAAATATTCTCAGAATCAACAACTAGACATAGTCATTCGATTTTGGAATGGAAACACTGATGAAGTTTCAATATCTTTCATCTGTTCAGGCGAAATCAACTGATTTATTGACTGTCATAAAAGAAGGGCTCTCAGGACTTGATTGGAAGATTGTTCAAGTTTCACAATGGACGGTCCCAATGTCAATATCAAACTTCTTCGGTTGCTGAAGAAGGAAATTGAAGACAGTAGTAGTGACAACCACAACTTGTTGGACATTGGTAGTTGTTAGCTCCATGTTTTAAATGTTGCTTTTAAGACAGGAATCCAGAAGACTGGATGGAACGTGATTGAATTTTTAAGAGCATGTTACTATTTGTTTAAGGACTGCCCTAGTCGTCGAGGGTTGTACATTAAAGTGACAAGTGACAATTTAAATCTGGAATATTCCCCTTGAAGTTCTGCAGCATAAGGTGGCTGGAGAACTCAGCTGTTACTAAGCTAGCACTCGATGTTCTGGACAGTTTGAGGAAATATGTGGAATATGTTGAGAAAGACAACACCCAAAAAGCAACTCAATCCTCCAAGAGTTTCAAAACGTTGAAGAGGTGTCTGGAAGACAAACTCTTTAGAGCTAAGCTAGCCTTCTTCCTCTTGCTAGCTGAGGATGTAGAGCCGTTTCTCAAACAGTTTCAGCAGACTCTCCTATGGCTCCCTTTATCTATGGCGATTTGTTGGCCTTATTTATTTATTTATTTATTTATTAAACATCATCACATTACATCAATTCTCTTGACAGGTGATTTGTCACAAAGTCTAATACTAATACTATACTACATTTTAAAATAAAATAGCTTACAAAAGAAATAAAGCATATAATAAGCTACAAACCTATGGGAGAAGCAATATCTTTCAAATATACTCATTTTCCAGATATTCCTCTAACGAGTAAAATGCCCTCTCCAAAAGGAAATTTTTTAAAGATAGTTTAAATTTAGAGAATGAGGCAATGTTTTTAATCCCAGCGGGTAATTTATTGTAAATTTTTGGTCCCATATACTGAGGGGATAAATGAAAGATTTTAAGCCTATGTTGAACTGGTTTTATAATATTTTTGAATCTTGTGTTATGTGGATGAGATTGTTGACAGTCCATGAATGTGTCGAAATCACTTTTAACCATTAATGCCAATTTGTAAATATAAGAGCTAAAAAAAGTTAAAATTTTAAAATTAATAAATAAATCTTTACAATGTGTTCTACGGGAGACTCTGGCCATTAATCTTACAGCTCTTTTTTGGAGAATAAATATTTTTTTGGCCTGGCTTGATGAGCCCCATACAGTAATTCCATAATTCATAATCGATGAAAAATATGCGTGATATACTACTATTTGTGTTTCTAGATTAGTAGTATCCCGAATTATTGTGAGAACAAATGTTGCTGAGCGTAGTCTTTTTGATAGGTTTTTAATGTGTTTTTGCCAATTTAGTTGTGAATCAATTTCTATTCCCAAATAATTTATTGACTGTTGTGAATGAATTGTAGTTAAGTTTGTATTTACAATTATTTCTTGGTTAATATTGGATGCAGAAAACTGAATGCCTTACTCACAAGTTTGATGGGAAAGGTACTCAAAAAAGAAGTTATGAATAGCCAAGCAGTAGAGTCAATAGACATCTCAAAACCAGAAAAGACTGTGGCATCTTCATCCTATGGTTTGCTGAGCTGCTTGCCAGAAAGCAACCCATCCCGCACGCTCCCTTGGAGTTGGATACAAAGTGGTGGCGTACCCACATAGAGGAAACCCTGACAAAGCAACATTTGGGGAGAGTGAGTCTACAAGGAGAAGTACCTATAGACCTGTCCGGTTGGGAATGGATGGATGAGGCAGCCAAAGTCAGCGCACCTTCTCTCTCACCGGCCACGGACTTTGACACCCTGCTGGAGGCCCTGGGCAAAGCCTGCAACACCTCCATCGACCCGAAGCACGCATTGCAGTCTGGGGAAGAGGATTGGGAGAAGGTAATCGAGGACGCCCTAGTCGACGTAGTTGAGGGGGATCCACTGCCTCCACCAGTCGTTGTTACTTTACCTGCCTCCCCGTGCTTGTCAGTCCAGGCGTCAGAAGCGCTTCTGGAAGACGTGAACTGTACAGCCACCCCGGAGCAGGATGAGGCTACGACCAGCATTGTCCCGGACGGACCCCACATGGTCACTCCAAGGGAGGAGCCGTCGACGTTCCGGCCCAGAAGGTGGCGGCGGAGGAACAAGAAG